CGGTGGCTCATGTCTGTAATCCCAGCACTTCGGGAGGCCAAGGCAAGTGGATCACTTGAAGAGTTCATGACCAGCCTGGCCAACATAGTGAAATACTGTCTCTACTAAAAAAAAAAAATACAAAAATTAGCTGGGCGTGGCAACATAAGCCAGTAATCCCAGCTACTCCGGAGACTGAAGCAAGAGAATCTGCTTGATCCCAGGAGGTGAAGGTTGCAGTCAGCTGAGATCATGCCACTGCACTCTAGCCTGGGACAGAGAAAGACTCCATCTCAAAGTAAATAAAATAGTAAAATAGACCCAGCACGGTGGCTCATGTCTGTAATCCCAGCACTTCGGGAGGCCAAGGCAAGTGGATCACTTGAAGAGTTCATGACCAGCCTGGCCAACATAGTGAAATACTGTCTCTACTAAAAAAAAAAAATACAAAAATTAGCTGAGCATGGCAATACACACCTGTAATCCAGGTTACTTGGGAAGCTGAGGCAGGAGAATGGCTTGAATGTGGGAGGTAGAGGTTGCAGTGAGCCAAGATCGTGCCACTGCACTCCAGCCTGGGCCACATAGAGACCCTCTTAAAAAAAAAAAATAGACCAGGTGTGGTGGCTCACGCCTGTAATCCCAGCACTTTAGGAGGTCGAGGCAGGCGGATCACCTGAGGTCAGGAGTTTGAGACCAGCCCAGGCAACATGGTGAAACCCTGTTTATAAAAAACATAAAAAAAAGATTATTCCTGAACCTAGGAGCTCATGTTTTCTTTGAAAGAGATACTGGGGAGGATTTGGGCTCACTCCACTCTACCTCCTTGATTCCCAGTCTAGTTGCTTATTAGAATAACCTGGAGCGACCTTAAAATTACACTGCCCGAATTCTATCCCCAAATAATTGAAAGGGAATCCGAGATGGGGCCCAGGGATCTGTTGTGTTTTGTTTTTGAGACATTGTCTCACTCTGTCATCCAAGGCTGAAGTGCAGCGATGCAATCTCAGCTCAATGTAACCTCTGTCTCCTGGGCTCAAGCAATTTTGAGATGGAGTTTCGCTCTTGTTACCCAGGCTGGAGTGCAATGGCGCGATCTCGGCTCACCGCAACCTCCGTCTCCCGGGTTCAGGCATTTCTCCTGCCTCAGCCTCCTGAGTAGCTGGGATTACAGGCACACGCCACCATGCCCAGCTAATTTTTTGTATTTTTAGTAGAGACGGGGTTTCACCATGTTGACCAGGATGGTCTCGATCTCTTGACCTTGTGATCCACCCGCCTCGGCCTCCCAAAGTGCTGGGATTACAGGCTTGAGCCACCGTGCCCGGCCTTCAAGCGATTCTTATGCCTCAGCCTGAATAACTGGGATTACAGGCATAAGCCACCACACCCAGCTAATTTTTGTATTTTTGAAGATGGGGATTCACCATGTTGGCCAGGCTGTTCTTGAACTCCTGACCTCAAATGATTCACCCACCTCGGCCTCCCAAAGTGCTTGGATTACAAGTGTAGGCCACCACACCTGGCCCAGATCCGTGGTTTTAAAATGGCTCCAGGTTGAAAACACATCTATACAAAAACAAACAAACAAACAAACAAACAAAAAAAAAACACTACACATTACTAGCAGCTTTATTCATAATTGCCAAAACTTCGAAGCAACCAAGGCATCCTTCAGTAGTTGAATGGATAAATTGGTACTTATAGACAAGGGAATCTTATTTGGCACTTTGAAAAAATTAGCTTTCAAATCATTAGAAGATGGGGAGGAAGCTTAAATGCATATTACTAAGTGAAAGAAGCCAATTTGAAAAGGGCATAAGGCTGGGCATGGTGGCTCACACCTGTAATCCCAGCACTTTGGGAGGCTGAGGCAGGCGGGTCACCTGAGGTTAAGTTCGAGACCAGCCTGACCAACATGGTGAAACCGTTTCACCATGTATTTTTATACTAAAAATACAAAATCTAGCCAGGTGTGGTGGCAGGTACCTGTAATCCCAACTACTCGAGAGTCTGAGGCAGGAGAATCACTTAAACCCGGGAGGCAGAGGTTGCAGTGAGCCGAGATGATTGCACCATTGCATTACAGCCTGGGTGACAGAATGAGACTGTCTCCAAAAAAAAAAAAAAAAAAAAAAAAGGACAGAGGCCACAAACCACATACTGTGTAACCCCACCAGTGACATTCTAGAAGAGGCATACTGGAGACAGTAAAAAATCAGAGGTTGCCAGGGGCTGGAGATCAAAGATACGACTAGGTAGAACACAGGATTTTTAGGTCAGCGTAACTATTCTGTATGACACTATGATGATGGACACATGTCCTTATACATTTGTCAAAACCCATAGAATATACAACACCAAGAGTAAACCCTTATGTAAACTATGGCTGTTGGGTGATAATGATGTGTCAATGTATTTTCACTGATTGTAACAAATGCACCCCTCTGGTAAGGGGTATTAATAGTTAGGAAGGCTGTGTGTGTATATAGAGGCAGTGGGTATACATTTCCTGCTTAATTTTGTTATAAAACTAAAAACTTGTCTTAAAAATGTATTTTTAGGCTGGGTGTGGTGGCTCACGCCTGTAATCCAAGCACTTTGGAGGCCAAGGGGGGGCAGATCACCTGAGGTTGTGAGTTCAAGACCAGCCTCACCAATACGGTGAAACCCCGTCTTTAAAAATAAATAAGTAAAAATATGTTTTTAAGAAGCTAACCAGCCGGGCGTGGTGGCTCACACCTGTAATCCCAGCACGTTGGGAGGCTGAGGCAGGTGGATCATGAGGTCAGGAGATCTAGACCATTCTGGCCAACATGGTGAAACCCTGTCTCTATTAAAAACACAAAAATTAGCTGGGCATGGCACGTGATTGTAATCTCAGCTACTCAAGAGGCTGAGGAAGGAGAATCGCTTTAACCAGGGAGTTTGAGGTTCCAGTGAGCCAAGATCATGCCACTGCATTCCAGCCTAGTGACTAAGTGAGACTCCATGCCAAAAAAGAAAAAAAAAAAAAGTTATCAAGAAATTGATGCACAGAGAAGGCTAAGAATCCCATTTGGTCATGAGAATGAGGTAGTTTTCCTTCTATATAGTAAAGCAGCAACTCTTCTATTATACATAAACACCTCTTTAGGTTAATCAATTTTTCTCTTTTTTTTTTTTTTTTTTTTTGAGACAGAGTTTCACCCTTGTTGCCCAGGGTGTGATCTGAGCTCAATGCAACCTCCACCTCCCAGGTTCAAGGGATTCTCCTGTTTCAGCCTCCTGAGTAGCTGGGATTACAGGCGCCACCCACCATGCCCGGCTAATTTAGTATTCTTAGTAGAGATGGGGTTTCACCGTGTTGGCCAGGCTGGTCTTGAATTCCCAACCTCAGGTAATCTGCCCACCTCGGCCTCTCAAAGAGCTGGGATAATAGGTATGAGCCACTGTGGCTGGCGGGTTAATCCATTTCTCAACCTACTAGGGACTCCTTGTCTACTCAGATTGAATTTAATCCCAAACATTCTGTTCCCCACCTCCCCCACCCCGATGGAGGAAAGATGTAAATAACAATCTCTTAGCTTTTTCAGTTCATTAAAGTTTGAAGCATGGAGTGCTGTGATATTGTGCTGGCCTAGAGCCAGAACCTGAGCAAAACTGTTTTATAAAATGCAAAACTGTTTTTTAAATAAGTTGAAGTGGCTGCCCCATTCTCCTCACAATAACTACTGTCCTTGGCCTCTGTAAATAGAACTGCTAGTTTATTCTTCAAAACTATGTAAAGCTGCTTACCTTTTCTTATCAGTAACTGCCAGAATTGCTAGCCTTTGCTTACCGGCAATTGCCAGACTAAGCAGCCCAAGCTAGTTCTATCCTGGCTCCTGTGACTTGTAATAAGTAACTAAGGTCTGTGATTTCCACCTTAACCAGATAATGTGTAAACAAATGTTTATCTTGACTTCTGTAAACCACTTAAGTAACAAACGGAATGACAAAAGTCCCCTGGCCCTTGGAATGTCCGGAGACCCCCACCCTCATCTCTGCCCAGGAGGTAATTTACAGAATCCACTAGCCCTCGGAATGTCTGAAGCCTTTTCATCCCCATCCCCGCCCCTCACCCCCACTCCCAAGGTGGTTTTTCGGGTATAAAAAATCGTGACACCCTCCTGTTGGCACCACAGGTTGGAGAGACGTGAGTCCTCTGTGGTCGCCGGCATAATACATGACCCTGCAATCTGGCATACTTTTGTCTTGTGATAACTTTCTATACTCGGTCAAATACAACAGTGCCACACTCTCACCGAAGCTCTGCAGCCTTCTGAGCACACTCCAAAGAGCTTCTGTTTTCAAAATTTTCATCTTTAGACCACATTTTCTTAGGGGACTTGGGTGGCTCTTCCACTTGCATGGTATTGCTGGTCATGATGGGGGCACTGTTAGGCATGCATACAACAATGGGATTAGCCATACTTATGACATTGCTGAAAGGAATTATACTGTTAGAACCAGAATCACTAAATACAAAAGTGATAATTGGAAACTTGTTACAGGTTTAGAATTGGGTTCTCACACATCTAAAAAGTTAAATGAGTCAGTAATCTTGGTACACGTCGAGAAAAATCTTATAAAATATGGCTTTCAAATGTCAAACAAAAACAAAGGAATTATGATCTAAGGAACAAAATATGAATGGAAAGGGGGAATAACTTCAATTGAGAGAAGGACCTTTGTAAGGTCCAGCTCTACAGGGTTCTGAGCCCCTCCCTGCTGGTGCGGAGATGAGAAATTGTAGAAATAAAAGATGCAAGACACAGAGATAGAGAAAAGAGTTTGGGCTTGGGGGTCCACTGCCAACCAAATCGCGGAGTCCTGAAGTGGTGGCGAATGCCGGGACGCCCTCACTTTTACTGAGTTGCAAATCTGGGGGCAGGTTAGGTAGGGTGTGGTCTTGGTCAGAGACGGGGGCAGGGTAGATAGGGTGTGGCAGTGATAGGGTCAAGTATATCACATGTCATTCAGGGAGGGGGCTCAGGAATTTCTGGCACCCGAAGTAAGGTAAGGAACATAATTCATCAGCACTTTTTCCATACTTATCAAAAAGAACTACAAGATTTATATTACTATTACTGATTATCTAAGAAAAAAAGGAACATAAGAGTAGCCATGGAACGTGACCACTGAAGCACAGCATCACAGACATAGTTAAGCGCCCGGATGTCTGTGGGTTCACCTGACAGCCATTAGGCCTTACCACAAGAGCCTGGAGAAGCTGAGTTTTCTCCTAATTCCTCTGGGGAAGGAGGAAGTCTCAGCTATTTTGGACGTCTCCTTCCCTACCTGAACAGTGGGCGCTTTTCCAGTGCTGGCACTGCCGCACAGCCAAGGCACCCTTCAGCAGCCCTTATGTGGGCGCGTGACAGAGGGCTTACAGCATCTTGCCTTGGTGTCATTCTTTTCACAATGTCACCCCAGGTTCACACTTCCTGAGAGGCATTAGTAAAAGAATTAAGATCACCTATGAATAACTACTAGGGTTATATTTCTAATTACTTTCTTCATTATTTATATGGAAATAGGCTGAGGCTTTTTGCTCCTGCCTTGGGGCTTAAAGGATCTCTCCCCTACAGACCTTTATTTCAATTTCCTCAGAGGACAGAGAGAAGTTTTTTTCCATTTTTAAGCAATGACGTTGGAATTTGACCTAGGGTTGACTTTCATCTTCTCTGATCAGGCTGAAAAGACTCAAATCACCAACATTCACTTGTTCCCTGAATTATGCCTTTCTAATTAAAGTGGCAGGAATAACAACATGGGATAAATGAGAAGAACTCACAGTTCGCTGGGTATTTCACTGGCTATTTCACCTCTGGTGTTTTCACTTGTCGCATGCTCCTTAAACGACGGAGGGGCTGTGTAGCTTATCCTGTCCCTTGGCCCTAAAAGTTTAGATAGAAGATGCAGACTCAGAGGTTCCTTCTCTTCACTTTGGAGCACTCCCACCTTTGTCTCTGTACAGAGGAGTTTCTTTCCTTCTTCCCCCTTCTCTTATTAAACTCCCTGTTCCTTAAAACTCAAAAAGGATGTAGACCCTGGCAATACCCTCCAGAACACCAAATGCTGAAACACACAGGCTTGAGCATTCAGTCTTGAGACCTGGGTGAAATCCTTACAGGACTATTGGTCCCCAAGGAGCTTTTTTTTTTTTTTTTTTTTTTTTTTTTTTTAAAACTCTTGGAAAGAACTGCAACCAAAGTCAGCTGAACTATAGACCCTCAAGTGAGCAAGTACAAATAGGAAGAAAAAAGAAAGATGGAAGCTTGTCCAGGGCAGAGACTGTATCCAACTGTAACCATTTTATCTCTAGTGCCCAGTACGTAAGGGGTACCCAGCTATGCTGAACTGTTAAATGGATCTGAAATTTAAATTCATGCATTTTTCTACCCCCCCCTTTTTTTTTTTTTTTTTTTGAGACGGAGTTTCGC